ATAATTTGTAAAATTAACATGAACATTTAATAATCCGATTAGTAAAAATATTAAGTAATCCATAAATGTAAAAAACACTGTAACGTTTAATTGTCGTTAAAATTCAAAACACAATTAACCTGTCAGCTAAAATATGAAAGTTTATATACTTGACTAAAGATAAGAGAAGGTTGAACAAAAAAGTATAGGATCATTTAAGATTTTCTTCCGTAATTTTCACGCTATAAAATAAAGATTTTCTTGTCCTAGTGAGAAGCCGTGTCCAGTGGAGTGGCTGTGAGGCAGTTACCAACTGAAGATAGTTGAAGATAGTCCCGCAATACCGTGGATTGATTGAAGTTAAATATTACAACCGTTGGATGCGGGCTCACTGGCTTGGAGGTTAAGCGTTCATGCGTGAGATACAAAGTCCTGTGTTAGATTACCACATGAGAGTCCATTGATGCACGCCAATGAGGTGTCCATACTAGAAGAAAACGGCCGTAAAGTGCTTCCAGGTTTTCCATAGTGGTCTAGCATTGATCGGTTGACGATCTCAACGGGATTTTTCCACTCCTGTTGTCCATGTACACATATTTATCAATTATCAAGAAGAATTACTAGCAATCAACAGATTATTTGTTCTCAACTAGTTTTCCAAACAAAGTGTGCTCAGAAGTGATTTGTCAAGTATACCGGAAAGAGTAACTGAGAGTAATTGTTATCTTCCACTGAATAAGTCATCAGATTAACAAAATTACCTATCACGCTGTATGTACGGTCACTGACTAGATATGCTCACTAACAGAATTAAAATAAATTATATTTTCTCTAATGAATTCTAGAAAATGAAATGATTAAACCTAACACGTTTCATAGTTTTATTATTGATATTACGTAATGTTGCGCCTTCGAAAATTAAGTATTATGTGTTAAACCTAATAAGAAGAGGTCAAACAAAGGATTATAAGATATACACCATAGTAAAAGTATTAATAAAGAATGAGTAAACGTAGAAGAACATCTGTGAAAAAAGGCAAATAAAATATATAGTGACCACAATGGGTAGTGAGTGGTGATTGACAGTAAGGTCTCTCACTTCATCCAGCAATGTAGTAGGATAGTAATCTAAGAGCTTTTTTCATTATAATGTCAAATCAAATCAGGATTTCCACCTCCAATTAACATTTTTCATACTTAGTTTTGACTTCAGTGTATTAGTCCTTTATTGTGAACAAATTCTAGTCCTCGGAATGATGTAATACGGAAAATAAGTTTTTAAATCTCACTAATAAATAATTCAACCATGTTATCTCGATACTATGAATCTACACTTAAAATGTTTCTTCTTCGACAAGTGACCAAAATATAATCTTAAAAGTTAATCAATATTGAATTTAAAGATGTTCTCCATTATAACCTCCTTGACGCAATTAAATACAAAGTGACAACCGTTCACCATTTAAACTGTTACTAGTTTCATGTTTCATCTTGTTGACTTTATTTAGATGACCTAAACTTTGTTTTCATACAACATAGATCACATCATGAATAAGGTGATTTGTGTTACTAAGCTGAAAATCAATTAATAATTTATGCAAGACTAATCATATGAAGTTAACTGATAGCCAAATAGGGTCCTCAAAATGTAAACGTAATAACCATATGATAAATAATTCTTCGTGGTTATACGATGACTTCTTAGTAGTATGGTTTATTAATTGTTAGAGTTCCAGTACTCATAACTGACTAACATTGGCATAAATAATGAGGAAAAGATTCAACTTAAACCTTTACTTCATAAGTAGTTTATGTACATAGCAAACCGATTACATAAAGTTTAAAAGTTCAATTAAGTTTTAAAACTGAGTGGAAATTTTCATGAATAACCAGTTATTTACAGCGAGCTAAATCACAATGTTTACTATGTTCACCGTTCACCTGAGTATGTCTTAAAAATCATTAATTTTTGTTGCTGTGGCAAATGTAACTGTAATAAAATTTGTAATTTCTTTCGAAACTATTGGTTGATAGGAAAACGTGGATTAACGAAAACACTTTACTATGAGGGCTGAAAGCCCTGGTGTGACAGTAAGTTTTACTGAGTGATCACATACTGGGATGAGAAAACTGTTCATTAAGAATTAGTTTTCAAATGTCCTTTAACTCGTGTTAAACCGCAGTGAATACCAACTAAATATTATATTTTTATTTACTTACGATACTGAAACGTCACTTAGTCATCCAATCCCGTTTTATATAAGCTTAGTAAATATGCATAAAAACCTATTTCTCGATTAATGAAATGTATTTCTTCTGAGTTTATAAATTAATTTTAAACTTCGACGGGTTCTTGTTTGTGCTTATCATAAGTGAATAATCGATATGATCTTGAAAAGCTTTTTAACCTGGATGTCTACTGTTTCCTAATAAGCTAGACTTACTTACTTACTTACGCCTGTTACTCATAATCGAGCATAGGCTGCCAACCAGCATTCTCCAACCCACTCCGTCCTCCGCCTTCTTTTCTAGTTCCATACAATTCTTCCCCATTCTTCTCATGTCTATCTTCGTTTCTCGACGTAATGTGTTCTTTCTTCTTCCGCTCCTCCTGTGGCCTTGAGGATTCCATGTGAGGGCTTGTCTTTTGACACAGTTGGGTGCTTTCCTCAATGTGTGTCCTATCCACTTCCAGCGCTTCTTCCTGATTTCTTCCTCCGCTGAGATCTGGTTTGTTCTCTCCCACAGTTGGTTGTTGCTAATAGTGTCCGGCCAATGGATCTGAAGTATTTTGCGTAGATAATTGTTAATAAACACCTGTATTTTCTGGATGATGGCTTTCGTAATTCTCCAGGTTTCTGTCCCATACAGTAGAACTGTCTTGACATTTGTATTGAAAATCCTGACCTTGGTGTTGGTTGACAGACAGTTGTTTTGAGTTCCGTATGTTCTTCAGTTGTAAATATGCTGCTCTTGCTTTACCGATCCGCGCTTTCACATCTACATCAGATCCACCATGTTCATCAATGATGCTGCCCAAATATGTAAAGGTTTTTAAAGCTAGACTTAATGACATGAAAAAATGTTCATCTTAGACTCAAAGGCGTTAGTCTATTGACATTAATTAGAAAACGTGCGACTCATTAACTTGAGACATCATCATACTAGATTTAGAATAAAAGCCAATGGCGATCACGTTGTAGTTTGTCATAACAGTATAATCATTTAACCTAAAGTAATGGATATCAGTATTTATTTAAAGGAGCTGTATATTTTTATAAATACTATACTGTTATAGTTTTATAACTGACTATGCGTCTTTTTCTATTATCGTTTCTCCACAGTATTATCAATATACCATAGATGATAGAGTGAATTATTATTCTACTATACTAAACGTTCTTTTTAAAAAGTGAAAGAATCGACAAATACTTTAGATTTTCAGTTGAACATAGATGTGTATGATTCTTCTATCATTATTACCCAGGTACAACGTTAAAGTCATTTGCTTTAACATAATCAATTAAGAGTACCCTTCACATTCTTCTCTCTCTCTCTCTCTCTCTCTCTCTATATATATATATATATATATATATATATATATATATATATTTGGATGCTAACACTAAAATTAAAAGCCAAGCGCGAATATTGGCCCGTTTATGTATTTTTGTCGCCAGTATAAGCAATATACCTGATAGTTTTGATTCCATCAGAACATTTTTTTACAGAATATTATTTTTCTTGATAAATAAACAAATGAAGAAAACACTACGAGGTGATGAAAGTAAGTGAAGCATGTCATAACTCTAAAATTCGGGTATAGGGTACGTGTCCGTGAATTTGTACCGCATGTAATTCGTAATATGTCTGTAATATTTAGTGTTATTCCGTTCGTTAAGTGGGTGAATGCTGAGTATAAGAACATAACTTCCACTGAGGATTTTATTTCAAGCTCTGAACTTAAATATTTTTGATTTTTTTTCACCTAACAAGTTGCGATGCTCTACAGTGACATGGTTACAGAAGACGGATATAGATAGCTTTAAATGAATATTACACCATTATATATAGCGCTAATACATTAAATGGACGGAAGAACACTCGGAAATACTAGATATCAAACTTTTATTGAATAATGTGACAGAATAATTACCCTTACACAACATTTGTGCTAACAGATGCTAATATATAGAATACCAATTTTATGAACAGATACTGATAATATCAGAAGGAGGTTTTGTGGATATTATAATCATTTCAATAGTTAAGGTTATGAGTACATTGAAGCTAAACTGTCATAGAAAACCTAGAAGCACTGGATGACCGTCTCGTCTTATTGTGTGACCGATAAATCCTGGGTTCGAATGTCTCTCTTGGCAGGATCGTGGATACACACTGCTAACGAATCCCATACTAGGACGAAATAGCCATCCAGTGCTTCTAGATTTTTTCATGGTGGTCTAGCTTCAATTCACTCATAATCTCAACTATTGAAGATATTGATAAGTTAAAATATACCTACATGCACACAAAAAAATACACAAATATACTATAGATATATATACAGACATACAAGCAAATCTACCAACCAAATGAGAAGAAAACCAAATGTTAGAATATATATATACTTTGATTTTCGCACAAATATATCACCTTAAAAATTCAATGATTATTTAAAACAAATAATTCAATGGAGAAAATATTCATCTTGATGATTTAAATTTTTTTAAAAAAAAAGATACAAACATATTTACATTAAATAAATCTAATAAATTTCATAATTATATGCTTGTATGCATTCAGATAAATGGACAATCAATGAAGATGCACACACGCACACACACACAAAATAATAATATTGATTGGTCTATTTGTTAAAATCGTGTGATCAGATTTTAAGTTTAAACTATCCTATTGGTAAATTTAAACACAGATGGTGATTTCTTTTTGTTTTACTACACACTTGATAGAAATATTGATTGAGGTCAATTATTTTTTTTTTGCAAATGACATTGACAAGATAACTGAACTTACAATTAAGATCATGCAAATTTAAATGATGGATCTATTGAATAATAAAGAGTATCATAAATCTAATTGATAATGATACAATTCCATTGAAACTATTCATTCTGTAAGTTTTCATTGTGATACTTATTAGATAATTAAGATCTATCAGATTAAATTATGAATTTTATATTTTATTCGAAATAATAGATAGTTAGTGATTTTTTTAATAAATTTTTCTTTAAATTATAATGATTGCAATCATTAAAATTGTTCATTTAAACATTTGTAATTTCAATGCTAACCGGTGTTGGAGATGGTTGGAAGAAAGTTAGGGACGGCCAAACCAAAACGTGGCATCAGTCCTTGAAGCCACTAACTTCTAGTCTGAGCCATGTTGGTAGATGCAGACTACTTGGTTGGGGTCCGCGTGACTATCGTAACTAATAGTTGGTGACTCTTTGTGACATGGCTCAAAGTCGATCACAATGGCGTCAGTGTATACACTCTCTATCTTCCTTTAAACTATGAGATTAAAATCGCTTCATATCTTTCTACGAACTAATTCTTTCTTCCTGTACTATATTCTTATATGCAATATTTCTTTTAAATATTGCCACCTCTGAATTAACTACTTTTATGAATCCGGTGTTCATCTTGTTGTGTTAATGAGGTATGGCAACTTGGACCGATTCATATATGTGCCTGGTCCTACGTTGTAGCTGACTGACTGAGACAATTAAGATCTTAAGTTTAATAACTGAATATAGTATGATAGGTCATCATAATTATTGATATTTATTGAAAAATAATTTTTTTTCATGCTTTAAATTATACATTGTAGTTATCTCTGGGGGAGGGGGTCGAAGAGTGGGTTAAGAGGCTTTCGATATATGAAATAGGGTTTATTGATCTTTGAAATTTACATGCTTACATGATCCGTTAAGAAATTATAATACTAATTTGATTTTCTCATCAGTGTGTACTAACAACATTTCTGAAGATTGAGCTTAGAAACTTTAGCCTTGCACACGAATGCCTAACCTAAAGACGATTGAGTTGAGAACCAGTGATGTACATGTTTAACATTATTCGACTCGCCATATTTTGCATTCACCTTGTATTGCTCACGGTAGGTAACTGTCTTTCATATACGATAAAATTAAATTCCGGTAGCCATAGCTATTCAATAGAAATCCTGTAATTGTATCTGAAAGTTTGCCATAAGTGAGTACATGACTATTATTAATATATTAGGGCTTGTGCAAATAGCAGAACTTTCGTAGTTAAATCTAGAATTGATCTTAGCTAGATCTAGGAAGCACTAGATAGCTGTTTCTTCCCAGTATTAAACTCCTCAATAGTGCGCAACCATGACAGACTAGCCAAGACCAGTTTATAATCTAGTTATGGAAATTCTTAAAATATTCATAGATCCCAATATACTTATAATTATTATAATCCCTTAGATTAAACTATCGAACGAGAGAAACGTCCCAACTTATATGATGAAAAAGTTAGTTTTAATTTACATCTGAAATGACAGTGACAAGACGGTGAGGTTATTGAATTCCAAGATTTGTCAATAATTTAAAAATTCTTTTTAAAATTCAGTTGAGGTACTGAATAAGTTATCCTGTTTACTAATGAGCATATGAATCAAAACTATTTAATGATATATGTGTATCTGGGCCCCTATATGACAATATATAGTGGTTTCTTATGGATGACATAATCACTTTTAACTATTTCGGATAGTTAACAAAATAAAGTCCCGACATGTGCTCAGTTTATAAAGTACATATGACTCCTAAGTTATGGATTTATTTTTTGATAAAGTCAAACATAATAATAATCACTTACCGCTGTTTGGTAAGCAGGTAGGATAGATGAGGGTAAATTTTCAATATAAATTAAAGGAGCGTGTGATTAGAATTTGCCATGACGATTAGTCAGAAACCAATCGCACACATATTCATTGTAAAGCTCTTAACCTAAGCTTTGAATTGATTAACGCTAATCAAGATGACAGATAGCCTACCAATCATGAGGTTTGAGTCCTTTAGGTGTAGACATAGAGAAAGTTAAGGGCAAAAGCGAATATAAAATAAATGTACGAAAAAAAAGTTCACCATTAATTACTTTTTATCAATCTTCTAAATAACATTTTTCAAGGATTTATTTTCAGATGTAATACATTGTTCCTAAAATTATCAGTTTGAATATCACACTTGAACTACGTATATCTTTAGAGACCATTTCTAAAACAAATCGCTTTTCATCTGTACCACGCTTATTATACTTATACTTAAAGCTTATACATTAACAAGTTCGATTGATCGATGATCTGTCCTCTGACTGAGTTCACGACTCTGAATTATAATAGTAATTAAATCAATTTTTTGTCGATCAGACTAATTGGTTTTTAATATTGATCAACACAACCGACATAGTTATGAGGGTTCATGGAATCATGAAACTATCAGAGGCTTCCAGAATATGTAATACATTTTTTCAGAAGTCTAAAGAACGGTTCCAAACTCGGTTAGAGGCAACTTTTGAGGATAAAACTAACAGTGACTAGTCCACTTCAGTATATATATCATCAACATTTTCTTCTTAACCGACTAGTTATGAGCTAAACTACTGGAAAGTTCCATTAACTTAGTAGGGTGATTCCCAGTACATTCTCTGTTAATTGTTTTTCCAGTAACATTAAGCGTTAATGGAAGTTAACAAAACATCTACACCTGAAAATTCTTGGTGTTTTTTAAAATAAATTTCTATCTTTTCTACAGTCAGTAAATAGTAGAATGAATATTTATTTATTATATAGGCTTTAATTTATATAAATCAGTAGACTGTAACATTCTTTTAGGTACTAACAACTCACTCAAAATAACTTATATTACTTGTACTGATATTCAGCAATTATATAGTTAATTCAATTCACTAACTAAAAGTAGGACTGTGTATCTAATTTGAACAATATTTGTTGAATGGCTGATGATATTACTCATTTTCTCATCTCGAATTAATTGAACTTTCAGCACGATGGTTAAGAATGGAATGTTTTTACGTGCAAAGTAAATCTTCCCACCAATTATCCAGTGTCCAGTGATACTTTGTAAGCCATTTTGTGAAACTTTGGAGATTATAATGACTAGGATCAAAGACATCATATGTGATAGTTAAATTGAATTACGTTGCATACTGCACCTCAAATAGTAATTTAATAATTGGTTGATTGAAATTTATAACAGATAATCCGAATATAAAAAAATTGATAAAAATTGTAGATACTTTGTGAAAGATATGAAATACATTGTCAGTAATCCTGAAGAAATGATCAGTTGCTTTTCATTGAAAAGTTTCTACTGGGAACTGTACCTTTTTAAGCAAATTTAAAATTCAGTTTTATTTGGGTAATTCCCAGTAAAAATCTCTTTGTCATCAGAAACTGGATGGTAAAAAATAAACACTTGTTATAAGCCCGATAACTATATGTTCATAACAATATATGAACAAACAATCTTTAGGCAACTGATGACAATGACGTCTGTGTATTCGTTCCGTTTTTTGTATTGACACAAAGCTACAAATGTGAAAGTCATTTCCAACAACTACGTATAATTCATGTGGTGTATTGGAAAGTCAGTGATGTTAAAAAATACAATAGGATTCAAAAACAGTAGCTGATAATTTGAAAACTGATATCATATTTGAAAGTTATTACTTTGAAAGTGTGAATTCATAAGTTTGCAGTGATTAGAATCCCTAAACAAGAATAAGACAGCTTCCAAGTTTTTTTATGTTTGATGATGGTCTTTAAATTCATCACTTCAGTTTTCAACAAATCATTTACTTAAATGAAATACATTTATATTACTTTAAAGATTATTGCACTTCAATAATATAAATTAAAAGCAAGTGCAATTTGCTACTTATCGATCAAACATTTAGAACCATCAATTTTAACATAAAAAACCTACCTTGTATTGATCTATATATCTCGTAGAAATTAACTAGGGGCACATATCGATTGAAGTTTTTGATAAACATATGTTCTTTTTAGTGATAAAAACTCTAAAAATATTTTATCTTATTGCAACAACTACCTTATACATTCTGTACATTCCAGAAAATAAAACGTATTCAAATATGTCATAATATCTATTAGCTACAAAAATACTTAAAAACAAATATATAATTATATCAGAAAGAGGGTTTTGTGGAGATTGTAGTAATTAATTAGTTAAATTCATGAGTCAGTTAAAGCTAGACCATCATGGAAAACCTGGAAGCACTCGTCCGTCATTTCGTCCTAGTATGGGACCCCTCAACAGTGTTCATCCACGATCCCTCACGCGGAACTCCAAGCCAGGACATACGGTTTCGCGCGCGATCGCTTAACCTGTAGACCATTGAGCCGGCATACAACGGTGTTAATGTCTAACTTCAATTAATTCATAACTATTCACATTTAACGATCTAAGATTTTTCATTGTGAAAGATAACAGTTTATTTTACAGATTGTTTGCTCAATAAATATGTCAGATAAAGTAAATATGCAACTCAGTGATTTATTATATTACTAGTTAGTTCAGTGAATTGTGGATTGCCTACATGTATTTACCTAATGCCTAGTTCAATATATGCAAATTTGAATGCTGACTACATGATTATATCATGCACTATTCTACGTATTTTTATATAGTTTTAGAATCACTGGGGAAAACAGTGGTTGAGTCTGTGGTGGATCTATTGTTAGTTCATAAACAAAATTTTATCTACAATTTCACCGTATCGCTCACTTTTATTCCCTTGTAAGGAGAAACAAGTGGTAGTGTTTACGCGAACATAACAAATAATCCATACTAGTAGCTTTACAATTATCTTCTTAAGTTACAGCAAAATAAACTAAATCACTAAGTATCATCAATTCTATTTGATGTAGTGAATTAAGTCAGTCAATGTTAATCAATATATATTAGTTATCGTTTAGAATGTTCTATTTCATAAATCAGAGGTATGATTGAAGCATATTAAGTCTACAAAGGAATAAACAGTGTTTTTCTTTACTAATCTGATATGACGGGATAAATAGGCAAAATCAAATTTTCATTC